TTATGATTATTAAATTGCAAAGTCTTTATAGATATTTCCGCGTGTAACTGACCGTAGTCATGATTACCAAACTGAAGTTTGCCTTTCTACTCTTAAAGAATTAAAAAACATCTGCCAGTAGAGACCTGAAGTGCTGTTAAAAACCAATTTGTTATGTCCTTAACTATGCTGTATCTAGCAGCATTACCAAATGAGGTTGTTAATTTGTGCTGTCTTTACACAGAAAGAGCAAGTCAACTGTGTTAGCAGATTCTTCTGATCAAGAAGATTTGACAACAAAGGTGTGGTTTGAAGTGGCCCTCACACAACTCCTTAGACTTACAGATATTCCTTTCCTAGAGGACATATTGACCTCGCCATTGCCAGATGAGACAACCGGATTTCCAGCAATCCACAATGGTGTCAAGGAACCGTGTATTCTTAATGATATCCAGAACAAGGAAAACATCAGCAACTCAAAGTCAGGCAATGTTTGGGTTTCAGCTGGCATGGAGTGCATTGAGTTGCAGAAAGAATGTCCTTTAGCTCAGCATGGTGAGGTGACCTACTCAAATGTGATGAACATTGATGAAGCACAAATTCATCAGCTTTTATCAGAATATTATGGATCACTTCAGGACTCATTGATTCCTTCTAACCTAACAGACTTGGTGGATGGTATTCTCTCAGTCGGTGTCAAAGATTGGACAAAAAATGCAAATTTTCTGCCACTGTTGGTAATGATGCTAGGAGCAAGTCAAAGGAAACATCTGAGACACTTGTTGACTTTTATTGGAACATGTAAAGGAACAAGCAATGGAAGGTTTATGGTGAAGAAGTTTATGAGTGCTATCTTACCAAAAGATGTCAAAGATAAAGTGAGTTGCATTTAGTCTCTGCTCTGCTGAATTTTACCTTAAATTTCAGAATCATGACCAACTTCACACGAACAGGTACATTGCTTTGAACCCTTCATAAAAGGGAAGTCATGTGGCTGCCAATATGAATTGGTTTTAATGGGATTCTACTTCACAAAAGGTGGCAGGGGTTCAACAAAGGGGGATGTAAACTTTAATAAAGAAATGTTGAGAGAGTTTGTCATTTCATTGCCAATTCTTCTGAAGACAGGACATAATTTTTAATGCTACTGGGGCAAAGACCTGCTCATTGACCACTTTCATAAATGGCTGCCGGATTAATATTCTTTTGTTTAAATTTAAATTAGCCTTTCTGGCCTCACTTAAGATAATGTGTTCTTTTGAATTTTGTACTGGAGAATGAGGCCAGAAAGGCTAATTTAAATTCAAACAAAAGAATATTACTCTGGCAGCCATTTATGAAAGTGGTCTATTGTTTTAGTGTTTTCAGGGTTATTTTTGTTAGTGGCCTAGAGGTGTATCAGGCAAAGGTGGGCTGCTCTTAGGCTTATATTAGTACTGAAAATAATATGAGATTCACTTGGCAGAGAAACTGATTATTTTTCCACTTATAGGAGTCTGCTCATAAATTGGTTTCACTAATGGTGAGGAATCAGTGCCAGATGTTCAAAATACCATCTGAACTCAAGAAGGAAATCAACAGAAATATCTCGTTTGCTCAGAAGAACATATGCCCATCCTTGCCAACCACTGTTTGTCAACGAATGTCTATTGAAGATTACAGAATACAAGCAAAGCAAACAACAGAGGAAGCCTTGATTGAGCTCATGCTCTTTATCATTGAAAACCTACAGATGACTCTAAAAGAAAAGGAAGAGCGGCTTAAACTTTTTCGGAAACACCACAATGACTTGTTTTTAAAGCAGTTTCCAAATGGACAGTTGTGAAAAGAAGTAGCTATTCTCAATTGTTTCCAATGAAAGTGTCAAAGTAACAGGTGGAAGGTTTACCAGTAATGCTTGGATAAGAAAGACCAAAACCCTGATGTTAATTTGTTTGTAGTGCCTTTTAATTTCTGTTACATGCAGTTGACCTTGGCTAATTCCACTGCATCAGAATATTTTCACTCCCACCAGGTCCTACTTGCCAAAGTTTAGGTTGAATGTGTCACAACTCTTAAAATAAGGTAAATTGAACAGCTGTACAATACAGCTTAGCATGGAAATTGTTCAGAAGGTAACTTTTAATTTATTAGATTCGCTGACAGGCAGTGACACTGCAACAGCTTGTGCCAATTACTGCGGGCCCAGTAAACCTACCCATCCCACCCCAGGGGAGGACATCCACCACACAGTAATCTCGTGTGTGGGAAATTAATGTCTCCTACCCCTAACCCTGCAGGAGATGGGGCCTACAGTTTATTCGTCTTTATCTGAGAAGACTAGAATATCTATCCATTTCATGATATTATAGAAAGATAGCAGATTCTCCTCAGTTATTTTAAGACCCTGAGTGTTAGTCGGGCTGGGGCTTGAATCCCCAACCTCCCGCACAACAGTCAAGCGCTCTGCCAATTGAGCTAACCAGGAGGTGGTTAGGCTTTTTTGAAATTTAATTTAAATTTTAATTAATTTAGTATTAAAAAGTTACTATTTATTGTGAAAAACCATGGGGTTAAATAAAGAAAAAAAGTAGTAAGTTGTAAGACATTATTATTATTATTATTATTATTATTAGTCATTAATGTACTGATGATCTGAACATGACCATTTATCCCTCTCTTTAATCATTATTTAGAATAGCTTTTGTTTGATTCTCAGTCAGTGGAGGCAGTGACAAAGAAAAAAGGAAAGCCAAAATAAATGAGTTATCCTTCCAAGCTTTTCCCCTCTTTTTCCCAGCCACTTTTGCAGTTGTTCCCACAGTTATGTTGTAACAAAATATAAACAATTACTAACAATAACTTGGAAAAATTGCCTCAAAGTACAAATACACCTCCCTATTTACAGAAAGAGCTTTTAATTGTTTTTTGTTGTTGTTACTGTTGTTTTCAAGATTTACAGAAGCTTGACCTAAATTGAAATTTATTTGTAAAGATGATAGTACTAATAGAAAAATCAGTGCATAAAATGAAGACAATTAAATCAATTGAAACTAATCTACACACTGCAGTTACTATTCACAATACTTAGATTGTTGTTATTATGAGAGACTTGTAACAAAAAGATAAACAAAAATTAGCTACCATCAATTGCCAAAACAGTTAAGAAACATTTTGTAAAAAATCTTCAGTAACCAGTGGTTCATATTTTGAGACTGCCTATGAACGCTGCTGTTATGAGAATTTTTTTCTTTTTCTAAATTAGAAAAAAAATGAGCAGAGCTCTGAAGGCAGAAGTTGACTACAATTGTTTATATTTTTGCAAGTAATTCACATGCATTCAATGCAAATACTGAAAAACCCCAGAGAGAATGCAGCTCTGTACGTTAACGGTTAAATTGCTCAATTTGAGTTCATGGTGTGGCAGTTCCCCTTTAGTTCTAGATAATAAAGTACACTACAAGTATCAAAATGTCCTAATTTACAATCAAGAACTTCAATTTCATAAAACATCCCAAATTGAGTAACTAACTGATCTTGGGTATCCTGAAAAAACCTTACCAAGTTGCAATTTCAATCAGCCACCTCTAAAATCACCCTTAAACCTGGTCCATGTAACTTGGTATAGGACTGCATACTTGAGCAAAAAGGATTTTTATCTAAACTTGAAAACTGTGGAAGATACATGTACTGTACATGTTCCTTAAGGTGCTCTGAAAAAGCACTGTGACTGCAGATTAGAGATCATGTGAAATGTTTGTGCTTTATTCTAGATCACAACAAAAGGCTTTAATTTTTTTTTCTGCAGAAAACAGATGTAAAAATAATTAGATTTTGAATACACACACAACAGAAAATAGCAAAGGAAATATACAAAAAACCTCTGCTGTAATCATTTGTGCATGTCCTGCTAAAAAAAACCAAGAAAAATCCTCCAAGAGATGACCTAAATGACAGAAATAAAGGTCTCCTGTTTGTAGTTTAAGTTCCAAAGTTGTCTACTTATCCTATGCTTTACATTTGAAGATAACATACACTAGTTAGTTCAGGGTCACTTCTACTAGACACCAAACATTATACACAAAAGTGAGGTTACAAAAACACAAAGCTAATGACCTGCTAGGCCCCTTTCCATGAGAATTATGGACAGATCCTCTTTACCTTCCAGGAATGATATCATTGACTTATCGTCAATTAAACAGAGTTGTTTGCAATATCTACAGATTTGTTTATCTATCTCATTGTTCTGTGCTCTTCTTCAATCCATTATTGATTGTATGAGCAACTCCATACTGGTCATCAATATCAGTGCACTGTCCATCTTCTCTTGATCACTGCAAGTGGTTCTATGTTTCTTGAGTTGTTTTGATTCTGCTCAATTAGTGAGTACTCTGTTCATTTTCAGTTGCTTGGCCTGTTGTCATCAGTGTAAATTTTTAGTGCTCTTTCCTTGTAGGAAAATTTTCCAATTCTTGTATTTGAGCTGTTGCTTCTGTATGACAATAAAAGAAAACATTCATTAATTCTGAAAAAGAACAACTTGAGCTTCAGTTACAGCTAATTTACTGTTGTTTACTTGAATTGGATTAGAGGGCTAAAATAGCTAACTCCCATCCATTACAACTTCAAAATGGGTTGGCAGATAATCACATTACCCCTTGAAAAACAAATTAAAAATAAATCTTGTTTTGGTGAAATTCTACTCTAAAACGTAATTGTACATCATAGTCAGTAGCAGTTATCCTTTCTAGATAAATAATTAACAACTATTCACCAAAGTGGAGGTGGTTAGTGGTGGATATTTACCTCGCCGCTTTGCGGCTCGGTAAATATCCACCACTAACCACCTCCGACACTGAGGTGAATAGTTGTTTCAGTATAATTTTATACTAAAACAGTGACATAATATACACCACCAAAAATTGATTTTAATTCATACATTCCAACATTTTCCCGTGCGGAAAGGACTGAAACAACAACCTGCTTGGATCGTGGTAAGTGATTTTTTGTTATAAAAACTGCCGGCTCGTTTTCTCACTGACAGATAAAATTTCTGAAGACATTTGTTTAGCTCTGTTAGTGACATTTCTTCAAATGGTGTTGCAAACTCTTTCTGTATTTGAAACCATTCTGTAAAAAAATATTATTCAACTTTGATTTTCAAGTGAACAAGTGAGGTTATGCATGATTAATTTGCATTTGTATACAAAACCTTTCTCATTGGCTTTTATCGATAAACTCCAGGTTAAAAACTTAAACCATTACCTTTAAACACGGCCAAACCAAATTTAGTCGCTTTCTTAGTGTATTTAGGGACTGCTTCGTGGTTAATTTGAGTGATTTCTTCGCTTATCATGGATGCAAACCAGGACGCCATTTTTTCCCGAGTTGCTTGGAGGTAAATAGCAAAGGATATTCGAGTTTGACTAGCCAATAAGAGCGCACCTTCAACGCTATCCACTGTTTTAGTATATACTAAAACATAATATTATCATAAGGTGAAATTCTTACTTTGCATTCTCTTTTTTCATGATTTCCTGCTTCTTTTCTTCTGTTATTTCCATGAGCTTCTCTGTTTTATCCCTAGAGAAAGGAAGAAGCGTAACTTTAATGTTATCTTTTAAAGATTGGGACATTTGAATGTTGATTCTTGAACTAAATTGAAGAAAATCAAAACAAAAAGTGAAAAAGAAAAGAAACAAGGCTTTCAAGGGTACATATAAAATTTTGAGGACAATCCAGATATAACAAGAGGACAAATATTGATGGGGATATTGATTAATCTGATTTTGCTCCTTGTGAAGTAAATTACCTGACAAGGTTGTGTGAAACTTTATGAGTAAGTTTAGGGCCTCTTGACTAATTATATAAGTTAGAAGATTGAATAAGTAACAAACTTAACTATGAATGACTCATCACTGAAACCTGTGTTGTCAAGTGACTCAAGTAACTCAAGTAATGAGCTTGGAATCTGGAAATTCATCCAGAACATTTAAAGCCCTCTGTTCACCTGAACTTAAGATCCCTACCTGAAAAACACTACTGCTCCATCATCATTTATCAACAGAGGACTCGCTCCAAGGGATGTCATGTCACTTGACCAGTCGCACTCATCATGAATCTCCAAAACAGACATTTCACAAGGAAACTGTCCACGGCCCTAAAAAGGGAAACATCCCAATAAGTTCTGACTTACCAAAAGAAATCGGACTCTCAGAACCCTTTAAGAAAGTAGCTTTCAAATTTGGTTTTTACTCTATGTGATTTATTGAAAAAAAAAAAATCTCAGGGGACAGTTTTTAGATATTAATCCAACCCTTGATCTTGAGTAATCTTCACCTTGCACAACTCCAAATTCTCCACGGGAATAGTACCAAGTTTGCTTACCTGGAAGAGAAAAAAACATTTAACAATCATTCAGTAAACAACAAAGACTACAGTGATCAATTTGGAAAGTCAAATGGAAATGTTTATAGCATTTGGAGGCACAAATGCAAATATGAATCATGCAGACATAAAATGCAAAACAGTTGTTTATTTCCAAAGTATGTAAGCTTATGCCTAAATCAATTTGAAGCTATGACACCCCCCCGGGGCATTTGAACTCTTGAACACTGGTTTGTTCAAATTTGCAACCTCTAGGACCAAAATAGAGTTCAAATGCTCCAACAGAGGACCGCACTTGATGATCAATTTTTTTTGTAAATGGCAAGATCAGCCATCATAACTTTCATGTAGTCCTTTTCTTCTGAGGCATCTGCTCACAAAAGTGAACTCTTCACCTTTAAGCACCTCCATAACAAAAAATAAAATGTGTGTTCACTGGAAAGAATTGTCAGTTCTGGTTCAAATTTCCCACCCCACACAGGCAAGGTTCAAATCCCCCACCCCAGGGCATGGATGACAATCAAGCACCTGTGGGTTGCCCAAAAGAGGGGGTGCTGTTGAAGCTTCAAATAGATCAGCCTTTTTTAAGGAGTGGAACTGCAATCTACAAGTCTAACTAAGGATCAGAGGACCCTAAACCTTGAGAACCACCCAACTGTAATTATGAAATACTGATGCCTTGGCCACAAAGCTTCCTTTGCAGTGAAGAATTCATTGATGACTAAGAGGCCCCATCCAATCCCAACTTACTTCAGCTTTCAGTTCATCAACTACACTTTCTTGCAGAACCACCTCTTTTGGAGGATCAAGTGTTAAAGTTGAAGGATGCCAGTGCCGTACATAGACTGAAAGCTGATCTGTTGAAGTCATTAATTCAGGGCCTGGCAGAGTAAAAAATGCATGTTGTGAATATATTTTGTTTCAGAAAGTAATTGCATGATGCATACTATGTAAAAGAACAATTTGGGGATTCAGAACTTTCAGATGACACAAAAGTAACTATTCTATCTCAGAGTCACTTTTGTAAATTTAACCCTCACACTTGAAATTCCCTCGATATACAGAAACATACATGTGGCGGAGAGATTAGCTAAAGATAAGATAACATATGGTATGGTTAAGTGGTGAGGTTAGAAGGGGAAATTTTGATGAGGGTAACTCTCTGAAATTCCCACAAGAGGAAAATTACTTGCCTTTAAGGTTGCCATACATTATTTCCTTCAAAATTGGTTAAGAATTTGGTGTTGTGTTCAGACATTACCTTCCTTCTGACACACTTGTTTATTCTTATGTTTTTCGGCATTGATTTAAATTCAAGTACAAGCAAAGAAACAATCTTCTGAAAGAAATTTAGGCTTTGACAGGATTTGCTGTCAGTAGTAACTACAAGATAGCAGTCTAGCATTACTACCAACTAAGCCACAAAGGGGCCAGACTTTCCAATCATGTTGACCATTCAGTTTAAAGAATTTTAAAAGTTACATCAGGAAAAGGGATCAGAAAATTTGAATTGATGTGAGAAAAGGATGCAAATGTTGTTGGTGTTCAACTTGACTACTTTCTTCACTCCTAGTTAGTTTTCTTTATAACCTTATTCACTTTATTTGTGTAGTTGTTTTTTTGATAGATAGGCTTTTAACTTGTAAATAATTATTAATAGTGTCTAAAAATTTTATTTGCTCATAGTCCCAACAATATTAGCTGGTTTTAGGTGTCCCCAATAAGTAGCAATGCTAAATCATTTTGACACAAATAAACATCTTATAAGCCACAGGTAGGAAGCCCAGTAAACTTAAGTTTGTTCTTTTTTCCAGTGAAGGAATCTACCCGTAATCACAAATAAATATTTACTGAATGATATTTTGATCAGCTGATGATATAAGAGTTGAGAAACAGCAAGTCACAATAAAGGAAATTCCAGTTACCACTAGTTACATCAGGGAATTGAAGGATTAACAACAGGATGACAGCATTGTGTGTCATCTGACAAGACAAGACACTGAAATGACTAAAGTGGTGATTGATAAAAATCCTGAGTGAAACTTTCACACCTTCTAATATTTCCAAGAACACTTCAAAACTTGCATACACTTGAATGTGGTTTTCAAACACCTGAGAATCAACATATACTGTTGCAGGATTCTTCCAGTTTTTTCTTCTCATTCTGAGACTAAAAATTTGAAAGGAGACAAAATTCACACAAAAAAAAATCATTATTTGAAGGTAAATGAAGCAAACTGTTGATGTGAAAAGTAATACTCATGACATTATCCAAAACTTGCTATAATTTAACTTTTAATTGAAATTTTTTTGAAAAGGAAATAACAAGGTTGTAATAACTACATCTGCTGCAAAATAAACAAGTGTTGTTTAACAAGCTAAAAACCAGCTGGAAAGGTTCTAGATTTATTACTAAAACCGTGCTTTACAATAAATATGAATTCATATTAATACTATTTGTGTAATCTTAACATTTAGTGGAAATGGGAGACAAGATTTTGTCTTTTTAACTTTAAGTGCACCCTTTCCAATGAAAATCTTAAAAGAATTGGTCAAACATACTTTTCAACAGGTACATCAATACCACATCTTTCGCAGATTTCTGGCTGCAGGAGTTCTTTACATTGTTTTACCGACATACCATCAGTTACAATCCAGTCACAAAAGTATTTATAAGGCTAGAAGTGAAACAAATATCAAAATTAAATTTATTTGCTTCAGCAAAGATTTATCAGCTTCATGACAACTAACTTAAGAGCTTAAACGCTTTCCACTACCCCTTATCCCTTCTCCTAACAGGAATCAGTGTCCGTGCTGTGGGTCGAAATTCTTTTTCCAGCCTCCATCCATAAGGCTTCATCATCGCCTGATCGTACAATCACTCATAAATTAAAAATAAATTAAACTTGCATAAGACAGTTAGGAAGGAATTTTATGCTAAAAAGGCTTTGCAGGAAAACAGGGAAGTAACAACTGCACAGAACGCTGGAAGACCTAGTGCAAGAGTCCAGGAATACTTAATAATTCAATCTCTGTAACAAATTAGTCACCCTCACCTCCTTTTCAGTAGGATTTAGTAGAAATATTTTCAGCTGATGCTCCCCTTTCTTGAGGGCACGACTGTACTTCACCCGAATCTAGAACAGGAAGAAATAAATGCCTCATAGCTAATACAAACATTATGTCATATATCAAAATCACTGTATATATCTTATTAACCAAGCGCAAGGGCCATACTGGGAGAATATCAGCCTGAGGTCTTGACAGTATGGACTGAGCGCAGCGAGGTCCATACAAAAAAGACCGAGGGCCGATATTCTTCCAGTACGGTCCCGAGCAAGCTTGGTTAATAAGAGATTTATTATACGACTGAAGTTCAAAGGGAATGT